CTTTGATAATACCCTATCATAATATTGCTTTTAAACTGTTCTCTCCCTCATCTGTTTCAATTCAGTATACATAATCTATCCAGTTTTTCTCAGTCTTACCCCAACCCAGATGTCAGTCCCGTTCTACAGCAGTGGCACTATGCAGTATTTGTCTTTTTATGACTGAGATATTTCACTCAGCACAATGTCCTCCAGGATTACCCATTTTGAATAATATTGCATGAATTCCTTGTTTTTCAATGCAACGTAGTTTTCCATTGTGTGAATACACCACAGCTTCTCTATTCATTCATTTGTTGATGGGCACTTAGGTTGTTTCCAACTCCTTGCTATTGTGAACAAAGCCTTGATACACATGGGTGTCCATATATCTGCTTGGATTTCGGTTATGGTCGCTAGAGAGCTTTTTGACTAATTTTAGATATGTCGCCAGGAAAAGCCAGTTGCTAGATAAGGACAAGCATGGAAAATAAGGGAGCCCCTCAAGCAAGTGAATGGACAATAATACACACAAATAACGAAAAACATACCAAAATGATAATTAAAAAATGATGACATAAGAGGTGGCAACATTTCATTACCCATAAGGTCACTTTGAGCTAAGACTGACTACAGCAACAAACAACTAAATGTTTACTAGCTGTTCACCACCAAAAATCATGCCTTGGAGAGCACGGTGCTCTTCAGATCCTCACTGCTTTACGTAGTACAAGAGTAGAGATATGCTCTTAATTAAATTTAATTAATTAAATTTCTACTATCCATTCAAGTTCTTCATTTTCACTTACACTGTTATGTGCCATCCAGTTGGAAGCGACTCATAGCTGCTGACACTCCAGTGACTTTTTCAGAAGCTGTGTGTAAACTGCATGAAAGGAGATTGCCTATTTTTCTCCATCAGAGAAGCTCGTGGATCAAAGCACCTGCTTTTGAATTGGCAGCACAAGTACTTACTACCAGAGCTCCTCAAGTATTGTTTGTGCTGTGGAGTTGGAACCAACTCATAGGTGACTCTCCAGAAAGTTTTCTGAGGCCATAAGTCCCACGGAAAGAGTCCCTGGGAGTAGCTGGTAGATTTGAAATGTGTGCCTTTGGGTTGGCAGTGCAACTCCTTACCTAACAGGCCACCAGCGCTCCCAAAGTAGTACTGTTGTGTACCAGAGTCGGAAGTGGCCCATAGCTGACCTTCCAGTGGGTTTTCAGAGGCAGTTAATAAGGGAGGAGATTTCCCATCTTTCTCCCAAGGAACAGCTGGTGGACTCAGGATTACAACACAGTTTCTTGCCACTAGGCCACCAGAGCTCCCTTCAAAGTATAGTTGTTGTTGAGTGCCACTGAGTTGGAACCAACCCATAGCTGACCCTCCAGTGGATTTTCAGAGACAGTTATCACAGAGAGGAGATTGCTCATCCTTCTGCAGAGCAGCTGGTGGATTTGAACTGTGTGCCTTCAAGATTGCAGTGAAGATTCTTATCACTAGGTCACCAGAGCATTATTAGTAGTAAGAAATTTGAAAATAGTTCTCAAACTATCTCCAAGAAATTTTTCATGGTGTTCCTTCTAAGCATCTTAAGTATTAAAATATATGCCCAAAGTAACCAAAGTATGAATTAAAAGAATTACAACTACTCTGAAGTAGTCTTAGAGGAGTCAAGGTTTCACCATCATTAGGCTAGCATTCTTCAAAGTTCCTGCAAAGCAGAAAGAGCTGCACATGTGGGAAGGCCAGAAGCATCCCATCTTTGCCTACCATCTGAATTGGCCTCTGCCCAAACACTCTTCAAATTAAAAACATTACAGCAACAATCCTCCTTGTCACCTGCTAGAATTGTGGCTAAGTTTGTGTCATTCTGGTGAGTGCATTCATTTTCTCAAAGGGGTTTTTCCTACCTAACAAGTCCTAAGAGTTTGTGAACATGTCATTTCTTCAGACAAAGATGCATCTATATCCTTTCAACCAACTCAAATAAATTCATATAAGTGAAACTACTGCAAGATCTCCTAAGTATTTGCCAATTAAATCTCATCTTTTCAAATGAAAATATCATCCTGCTACTGTATCATAAATGAAACAATGAATAATACTCTTATCAAAACAGGTCTTAAAACTATAAATTTCAAAGCCTCTGTGTTACCTTTACCATGTGTGCCTCGAGCTATGGATATGGTTTCCTTCACATCAATATCCTAAAGCTTCAAAACAGAAATAAGTCTGAACTGACTCACAGCCAACTCTTCAATGGGTTTCCTAGGCTATAAATCACATAGAAGAAAGAAGCAGATGGCCTATCTTTTCCCCATGAAGCCACTTTGAAACACCAGATTGTAAATGCCAGAGAGGCGAGGTTTGGGGGTTAGCAGTAGAATGCCCTATAGCCTAGGCCACAAGAACTCCCAGATTAAAGCTTAACAGGTATAAAAATTATTATTCAGGTAAGAATAATGTGTAGAGAGTCCTAATCTTGTACTTTCTACCAAAGGAAAACATATATAGAACATCTGATAGATTCAAATCACCTTGCTTTTGGGATAGCAGCACTATTTCTTACTTACTAGGCCACCAGAGCTCCCACAATTAACAAATGCAATTGTACAGTGATTTGGATGGTGTAAATATAGTGCTTATTAGGTTAGGGCTACAGTGTTTATTTCCTTACAAGATGGGCATCCAAGTAAAGATCGTATTCCCAAAGGGGGCTTTATTGGAGGGATGTGGAAACATAATTATAACATTATCAGCAATATACATGTACAATAAAACTTTCAAAAGGTTCTAATTCTTTTTTGGATATGGACACTGTACATAATATATCTGTTTTACACACACATACAAACCAAAGGTGAATCTTTCCATTCTTCTGCATCTACTCTTCTATGGCACTTACAAACAATATGGTTTTCAAATTTCTTTAAAGCCAGAACTTTCAGTAATACTTTTAATTAGGGCAACTCTGCTTTTATCAGTGATTAGAAGGGGTCTGTAGAATCCAGGTTTAAAAAGTTTTCTTGCTAAAGATAAACCATTAAAGGTAAAAAAACCTCACCTGATAAAATTTAGTCTTATTTTGCACTGAAGCCACTGGATTTATAATATCCTTAGTACTGCATGAATTATATATACATATTATGTAAAGATCTTCTCTACTTGAACAAATTTCAGTCCACCTAAGAAATTATGGATGGCCAGGTGATTTCAAAGTCAAAGTTTATTTTATTCATTATTCCTCAAATGTAAAGAAAATGACAATGTGAATAGGAACATAACGGACTTGACTTCTGCTACAATAGCAAAGCAGCACTAAAAACAAACCCTAAGAGATACCACATGATTCTGGAAGAAATTAAAATTAATAGAAGCATCATGACTGACAAATTATTGCCAAATAATAATAGAGTGGTGGTGGTAGTGTTTCATAATTTAAGACATGACTTACAACATGTTTGCTAATGCTCAATATTCAAGGAATGATCTGATACAGAGAATTCTATACTGTGGGGTCACAAAGTATAAAGACTGTATTAGTTAACTTTGATCCCTCAAATTTTAATTTAATACTGGGAACAACAGAAAGTGTTCAGTAAGTATGTGTTGTATTTACATGTTCCTTTCATAATTTAGTAACTATCATATGTTACAGTTAGGCTACTGTTCAAGAGGCAATTATCTATTTATATAATTAATGTTTATCTCTCAAGTGTGTGTAAGATTTTGAAAAAATCCTAGTAAATTTTGGTGGAAATCTTCCCAAGTATATTAAATGTCTTTCTTACACATGTGATATTAAATATAATGTAACCGTATTTTTATGATTTAAACATCATTATAAACATCCATTATTATACTGAGTCAACATTGGTTTATTTTCTCTCTGCCTATGATGTGTCTATCCTTAAAAATCTGGCTCCTATTTCCCTGGCCAGTCTCTTATATTTCCCTAATACATGCTTTCAAAGCATGCTGGAATTTTTTACAGTAGTTAATTACATTTGCAACTATACTCTCATTTGTAAGATTATTTCATTACTCTTTCATACTAGAATGTAAGGGCTCATATCTTGTACTTTCTTCAGGTTTTTATGTACCACAACTGTACCTGCAGTGACTACTCTGGTGCCTGAAATATAATAAATTCTCCATCATTATTAAGTGAATGGCTAAATAAGAGTCTACTTTAGTGCCTCACATTTCCCCAAGTCTAGGAAGCTAGGGAATCTTTCCAAAACTACATTAAAAAAGAAGGGGGGGGTGGGGAGAGGTAAGGCCCTATATGAAAGCAATTCTTCCACAGTGTGTAGAAACCCAGCTTTAATGTCTTGTGGAAATGAATCTGGGTGGTAAGCCTTTTTCTTTCAGTACCTAGGAAAAGGTTATATGGACGAGTGCCATTGACTAGTCATGAGCTCTAGGGCACTTACACCTCCATTTCTTCCTCTATGAATAAGTTTCTGTACCTCATTAAGTTTTAAAAGATTTAGTAAAATAATAAAGTACTTATGACACTGGTTGATAAATAAGAAGTGTTGATGCTAGCTTTTACTAGTAGTTGCCTATTATAAAATAATGTATCTTTGACCCATCATCAAAGGGAATGGAATTAGGTACTTGGAATTATTTTGCTAAAGAAACATTTACACTTTTCCTTAAGCTATATCTAGCATGGATTTTGTAAAGCCATACTGGAGCTTTAGCTATTCATGTATTATAAAGCCAAAGAATTACTTTCTTTTACAAATGTACCATTTTAAAAATATTCCCAGTGTGCTAAATGTGCTTCTAGTTTAGCATACATGGTGCAGAATGGTGCACATTGCCAATGAAAGTTCATCCTCACTGTTCTAGGTTTGAAGAATGATACCCAGATTTTGAAAATGTCAAAGAACATGAATTTTTTTTTAAGTATTCATATCTAATTCTGTCTATGGATGTGAAATATAAAACTAACCAAGAAGCCTATTAACCCAGTAGTTTGTAAGGAACATTAGGTGACCTTTTTTTTAGGTCAGGATCAGAGTTTTAATTGCTCCTGGAGACCACAGATTGAAGAAGCACTGCTCTGGAGTTTCTCAGTCACTGAATCTTCTTTCACTGTAGTTCTGATGACTTCAGTTATTCCACTGTTTCCAAGAATACAAGGCAAACTTAAAAACACTTCACTATTTATACCATAATATCCCTGGAAATTAAAAACAAAATTTAGTAAAGCTAAATCAATGCAAACTTTAAAATAAAGTTAATACCATAAATACACTTTCTAACTTTTCTAGACCCATTACAAAGTATTACAAATTAAACTCAGAGGGTTTTTTTCCCCTTTGTTGCATTTTTTTCTATATTCAATGTTGTTTCAGAAAATATCTTGGAGATGAGAGGGACTTAGTCAAAGACACTTTCTTTGTGAAATAAGCTGGATCCTATAACATAGACAGAGTGAGTGAAAGGTTAAGAAAAAAAGGTTCAGTGTGGAATTTGTGGCAGGGGAGGGACTAACCTACTTGTTCTGTTTTCCTTTCTGTGTTATACTTCTATCCTGGTATTCCTAAATCTTCAGGAAAATTGGTTAAGAATTTGTACCAACCTCATCTTAACTGTGCTTTATTTATGTTTGTTATTGAGTTGATTCCAACTCAAAAGATTGCAAGTTCTTAGAGGAGAATTGCCCCATAGGGTTTCCGATACCTGAATTTTTATGGGGTAGATGGCCAGGTCTCTTCTGTGCCATTTCATATTACCAATCTTTTGGTTAGCACCCAAATGCTTACCATTACATCACCAGGGCTCCTCTACTTGTACTTTAGGGAATTTGTATTTGGGAGAAAGTACTTAAAAGAAAAACTATGGAGCTCTGGTGGCCTAGTGGCAAGAAGCTGCACTGCAATCCCATAGGCATGAGGTTCGAATCCACCAGATGCTCTGCTGAAGAAGGAGGGGCAATCTCCTCCTATACCTGTCAGATCCGATTTTACGGTACACACACACACACACACACACAAAATAATAACATTTAAAAAAATTTAAAAAAACCCCAACAAACCCCACTATGAACTAGAAACCAGTTGGCTGGCTGAAGAGAAATTATGACCAGAAGTGGTTTGTGACTTCCTGGGATTCCCAAAATTCACGTGGGGGACAGGGTGATGTGGAAAGCCTGACAGAAGTCTTACTTCCACAGGAAGGAAGATAGGGAGATGTGGCTTAGACTACCCTGTTTCTTTCATGTGTGACTCAAAAAGCTGATAGCACTGAAGCAAGAAATTTGTGTGAACTGAAATGCTACTGTGTTACATTGATAATATTATCATTTTAAAATATGATGAAGGAATGACAACAGCATTACCTTCGATAACACTGATACAGAATGCACTTTCTTTTTATTGTTGACAATACTGTCAGCAAGGTCAGCTGCAGACAGTCCAACAGACCAGGATCGTTGACCTTTTACCCTTAACATTTCCATGGCTCTAAATGGAAAATGAAAACCAAAACAAATCAAAAAATCCATAAAACTTGTACTTTTAATTAACATTCTACTTAAAAGTATTCAATTTTTTTATGACACAAAAGAAAGAAGTAAACAGTTCATGTTAGGAAAAGCTGTGCTTTTCTCAAAATGTTAGCAGGCAGTGACTTGGCCTATTCGCATAAAGCCAACTCAAACACTAATATGTAACTAAAATGATAAATAACAGTTTTGTCTATCAAACTGGAAAACATTAAAAGATCTGATAATTTTAGGAAAGCTATAGAGAAACAAGCACGCCCTTATATATTGTTGAGAATGTAAAGTGACACAAACTTTTAAGGGGGATGGATAACTGAACTAGAAATTTCTAGGAATTTATCCTATAGCAACATACTCTATTATGTAAAATGCATGTATTAGCTTGTTTGCCTTGTGTAGGATGGCAAAAATTTTGAAATAATGGATTAAAATGAGACTGGTTACCTAAATCATTCCTAAATGTACAGCTGTATAACTGTTGAGAACAATAAGGTGGATTTATATGTACCATATCAAAAGATATCCAAGACTACTTAGAAAAAAATTTGCAAGGTAGTATGACTAACCTTTAAAGCTATTATAAAAAGGAGCTCTGGTGGCACAGTCTGGAGGGAGTTTAGCTTTAGCCCAAAGGCCATTCCACCACTGCTCTGGCAGTTCAATCCACCAGTAGCTCCGCAGAAGAGGCTGTACAATTAACAGCCTCATAAATCCAATGTAAGTCAGCTGTGAGTGAGTTCTGACTCAAAGGCAGTTGAGTCTGAGGTTTATTTTGAATTGTTTTGGGTTTTTTTCCCAATAAATAATAGTATGTTTGTGGAAACACTGCAAAAAAATGGGGGCGCACTTGGTAACTGCCTGGTTGCTCTGTGTCACTGTTCTTTTAGTCAAGCAATCCTTCAATAAACTTTCATTTTCACTTTTTTGACAGGTGGTCATTACACTGTTCATAGTAGCTGCTTCTAGAAAATAAGATTGCTCCAGATGTTCACTTTCTATTGTATAGATATTTGTAGTATTTGAAGTTTTATAATAGACATACATTGCTTTTGTAAATAATGAAAAGACAATGAATTTACAAAAACTGAGTGCTAGATTGTACAGCAAATCAGACTATACAGTTTCTTCTCAATAAGAGAACATTCTCTCCAGTTGTAAATATTCTAACAAGCATAAGCTAAGAGGTTTAAAAAGCTAACAATCTCCACCACTCGGACTTAGCAAATTTGTTATTAACAATGGTGGAGCAACAAACGGCATGAAACTCTACGACAGAGTAGTGTTCAAACTATGGGAGGCACAGATGCATGCAAGGCCTTGGAACAAAGGCAAAAGAGGATCAACACACATTATTTTAATTTTGCCTGAACAGAGTACATGTTATTCATTCCTATTAAATTTCCAAATATATCTGTGATTAATAAACACTGATATTTTAAGTGATATAGACAAATTCTCTATGCATTTAAATTTAATAATATCAAATGTTTACATTTAGAAGCAATAAATCATGTTATTGCCATGTAAGGAACTTGTTCTATCCTTTAAATGTCACTTGTATATCATTTTTTTAGCAACATACTCTTAGATCTACCTTCACCTAAGAAATTTAAGATTAGAAAACAATGTTTCCCTGTACTTTTGTTCATACTAGCTATGTTTGTACCAACCTAGTAAGTAAGGACATGCTTTCTATGTAACTATTATGTTAGCCATGAAACACACAGTTGAGTTAATTCAAATATGTACTCCATATTACCTGTTGGACAGTTGTACTTTAGAGTTATGATTCAAAGCTGCTTCTTGGTCACCCCATGTGGGCACTAAAAATTGAATGAAAAATTATATTTTGCCAGTGAGTCTCTTAGAAATAAGTAATGGTCTTTTGTAGTCAAGGGTACCTGTATTGAACTTTCCCCACTTCTCGCAACAGCTACATTTTCCCACTGTTGGCAGTGCATGTACCATGCTGACTGCCTTGTGTTCCAGTACACAAGAAAAGAGGTGGTGCGGCAATCCCCAGCGTCTACTCAAAGCCTCCTTCCTGCTCTTCCTCATTAGTACAGTTCTACAAGAGCCGCTGTACTGTTCAGGTAGAAAGCTGCTTTCCTCAGCAAGCTGTGTATAATGGGCTCTCAAGCGCTGCAAGCACTTGGCACTTGTTCTTCTAGGAACCGCACTAAAACTGATTTCTTATACCAGTGTGAAAAAATTTGGTCACCTATTTTGAGCTAGAATTTCCACAGCTATTAGAAAGGCAGGTGCCTATTAGTATGAACAATTTCTAGGTTACCCATTTCACTTCATTCATACCAATCAAAAAATTAAAAACAAGTCAACCAATCCAATTAATTTAAACCTGTATGCATAAACTAAGATATTTATACCATACTTGACTATTACATCAGAATTGCAAATAACATTTTCTAAATTTTCTAATATTCATTGCTTCGTATCTGTGTGAAAACATTTCGGGTACAAATCTGTATTTGGACAGGGAACACCAAGACACATTCAAATACATGAGTATTTGCCACACCCGCCTCGCTGTCCTCTCTGGCCACGACGCCTGTGTGACAAAATGGGTCGTCCGTGCCTGTACGGGGTCTCTGACCTCAAGGATAGCATAAGAGGGAACCTTGCAAGCCCTGTGCTTGTGAGTGGGCTGATGCCTGGATATTTGTTACAGATGGGTCTTCGTAATC